GGCCCCCGTGAGCCCCCGTGTTCATACAACACACCGCCACTCCATCAATCACTGATAATGCGCCCCGGCTCTTTCTCTCTGATGTTTGCATTATTGCATTGGATCGTAACGAGCACATCGTCGCTAATCAGCCCACTGGATAAAGGAGGCGGACGGATTTGTTTCTGTGTGATCATTTGAATGAAACATAGTCCTGCATGCCTACGTGACTCTGGGGGCCCGGAGCTGCAATTACACATATAATCACAATTGAGTTTCAGCCGAGGCTCCATTATCCATCCTGCCAACCAAACTGGAATTAAGTGTAGATGAAGTGAAAGTCTTTAGCTTTCTACTGTGAATAGTGGAGTGTTATCTAAGCGTCATCAGTTTCAGCTCTTAATGCACCCAGTGATAAACAACAGAGTGACTCCAGATCACATCTTTTAACAACACGGTCATTCAGAGCTTCTGTCTTCATCTATTTTGATTTATTATTTTGAGGAAGATGTGTCGTCAGCTTTTGGCATTACAGCATCGCTTGTTCTTTTTCTTCTCGTCCAGTCTCCTCTTTCTCCAGTAGTTGTATAAAATCAATATCACATTCGCAGTTGTGCTATCTGGCACAAAAACAGCCCTGGTGTGATATTGGATTTTGTTGCTCACATTGTATTGCTAAACTATCATATCATACAAATATGAGACACAAACTCATACGGGACATTTTTGCCCCAGTGGTCTGAAATTTAGAGGTTTATAATCATTACCCATGAGTAGGGCCAGACGGAGTTTGCGGACTTTATTTCTGCGCAGAATTTAGTTAAAAATTTGCTGAATGATTTTGGGAGGATCATAACTATAACACTTTAACTCTGCGGACCCGTGACATCATCGTCTTTCTCTTTAAGATTTAAAGGGCTAGCATTGCACCAGACCCCCGTAAGTGGTTTAGTTTGAAAGTGTAGAATCTATATTTTATGCACATCTGCGTCACTTTGGTTTTTATTCTACTGTACAAAAGTAATTAACACTTAAACACACAGTATTTTGGATGCCCGAGCTGGGTATTGAACATTGGTTCATTTTCATATTTTTCATATGACACATGTACAAGTTATAGCTCAAATGAAAGCTCTTGTCGGTGCTCATACAGTTCCAGCATTCTTTATACTGAATTATATTCACAAATCAGTTGCTGAATAAATCGCGGTGTTTCCATGGCGCAGAAGTGAAATCAATACATTTATGATCAATAAGCAGCCCCAGATAGCACAGACAGCTGTCATCTCTCACCTTATGCTGTGGGCTTCAGGGCCATTCTCCTCTGTTTTTGAGCTGATGTGCATAAGTAATCCTTTTATATGTCTGATGTGCTCCAAACACAGTGAATTATGTTTGATCAAACAAAAGAATAGTGAAATATGAAAACAATGATCGCTCCCTGTGGCTTGTACAGCACCTCTCATCAGTTGGATCACAAAAACTTTTGCATAGATTATGGTGGAGACATTTTTATTTTTTCTTATGATTACAGACATGTGCAGGAACCACCAACATTAATTACAGCACGCTCGACCACACACAACCTAAAAGGTACACTTTCACATTTGAGTTTATAAAAAAAATTCAAAAAGCGCCTCTTTTTTAGGTGTTTATTATAACACAGACAACATATACAGATATTTTAAACATTTTCAATAGTTTTTTTATGAAAATTCAAAGGGTTTTCTTTAAAATGATACCAATTTTTTGCATTTACACCTCTGCATGTGAATTTGGGAAGCTTTTAAATTTAGGTAGGCAAAATCCAGGCGGAAATCCCAAAATAGCAGCAGAGTTAAACTGGTTAAAGGGCACCTATAGTGAAAAATCTACTTTTCAAGCTGTTTGGACAGACATGTGTGTAGGTATAGTGTATAGACCGTCATATTAAGGTGATATACACACACACAGTCCTTTTTTTTTTTTAATTTGACAACATAAAATCGGTGGACCAATTGGAGCGGTTTTTAGAGTGACCGCAACTTGATGTAGGAGTGCGGTCCCCCCGCCCACCAATATTGATTGACCGGCACTCGTCACCTAATCCTCAGTTCCTTTTTTCACGTCCGCCATTTTCAGCGTGTGAGTCAAAGCAATATCACTAAAGGAACACCCTTGCTCTAATTTTAGATGTAAGGCTCATTGGGCTCAACACAAGATCAACATTCACCACATGATCGCTCTAATGTGAATTATTGTTTGTAACTTAGTTTGTTTGTAGTTAGGTTTGAAAACTAGTGTACTTTTCATTGCGTCTACCTTAAACTTCAGTCGTTTGCATTTCTCGAGGTCACAGAAGCTCCCTGTGAGTGTGATCTTAACTAGGTGCAGCTGTAAAGGCTGATTTATACTTCTGCGTCAAGCGCCTGCGTATGCTACGGTGCTGACGCATAGCCCTTCGCCGTGGCCGTCACTGACGTGCACCTTTTAAAAAAATGTAACTACACGTCGCAACGACGCATAGCGCAAGCTCTGTGATTGGTCGGCTTGGTAGCGCTGACGAGTCTGGGCGGGACCGAGAGCCGCTTGAATGGTGCGAGCCTGATGGAGCGATTGTTTACAAGTGTGGAGTCCCGTGAAGGAGCTCCGGATGGAAAGTTTTGTTTTGTGTTTACCTCATAGTTAAAGTTGTTGCACGTCCGCCGGTTCCTGCCTCAAATGAGCGAGTTTGAGCCACTTGTACATCCAGGAAGTGTTCAGGAAAAGCAAAACAGAAGCGAAGAAACTCGACACAGAGGAACATTTACACCTCACTGCCCACTAGCGTTTCGGAAGTGTTAATGCAGACCAACAGAGACCGCGCGCAGAAGTATAAATGCACAGCCACGCGCGTTGCATGCGCCGTGAGTTACGCCGGTCACTTGACGCAGAAGTAAAAACCAGGCTTAAAGTGCGAGCGCGTTGCCTCACGTGAGTGTCGCTCCATTGGAAATAAAATAAACTTGAATGCAGGTCACACACCAGAAGCGCCGCTTTAGAATTCTAAACATGGGTTTCTATCAGGGTACACACACTGGCGCTTCATGTTGGCGGCTGTCCGCAGCGCCCAGCCAGGATTCGGGACACTTCATATTTCTGCCGCGCCACAGAGCTCCATCTGAACATGCGAATGTCCGTGTCTGGTGTGCCGTGTCGCGGCTGTAAGCGGGTCATCCGGTGCCTCATTCATTCATTCATTTTCTTGTCGACTTAGTCCCTTTATTAATCAGGGGTCGCCACAGTGGTATGAACCACCAACTTATCCAGCAAGTTTTTATGGCAGCAGATGCCCTTCCAGCCACAACCCATCTCTGGGAAATCCGGTGCCTCAGTCAAAGATAATTCAGCGTGTGTGGTTATTAGTCTCAGTGTACAAGCTCGGCACTTTAAACTAGCACACAGTTGGCTGTAAAACTATACAAAGACACAAATGATTGTGTACTCTCTGCTTGGTCTGTGTCCGAGGCGTACATGTACGGATGAATGCTGATCTCTCATGCTGCTTTTCTCTCTCTCTGTCTGCCTGTTTGTTGCAAACACAGAGCGGGGGAGCTCTTGGCTCCGCCCCCTTGTTGCGTTGGGCGGGAATTTGAAAATAATTTTCATGTGAAGCAACACGCCCCTAAAACAGCGAGCTGTGTACACGCCCCCAACATGACACTTAACATATTATAATAAAAACATCTGAACTGTGTGTTGAACTGAGCCTAAACTGGCGCACTCAGATGAACCATAATACTAATATTAAATCATAAAAAAGGGGTAAACTATGTGCCCTTTAATATATGAACTAAAAATTAATACCTTTTTAACTTTTATTTAATGTTTACAATGCAAATCTAATTAGATCCACTTTATTTGATAAACAAACCAAGTCTCTCATATAATATATCTACAGGGTGGGCCATTTATATGGATACACCTTAATAAAATAGGAATAGTCTGTGATATTAACGTCCTTTTTGTGGCACATTAGTATATGTGAGGGGACAGGTGGTGACAGGTGGCCAATTTGAAGTCGGCCATCTTGGATCCAACTTTTGTTGTTTTCAATAGGAAGTAGGTCATGTGACACGTCAAACTTATTGGGAATTTCACAAGAAAAACAACGGTGTGCTTGGTTTTAACGTAACTTTATTCTTTCATGAGTTATTTACAAGTTTCTGACCACTTATAAAACGTGTTCGATGTGCAGCCCATTGTGTTGGATTGTCAATGCAAGCCTCTTCTCCCACTCTTCACACACTGATAGCAAATGCCAGCACAGGCTTCCAGTATGCGTAGTTTCAGGTGCTGCACATCTTGTATCTTCACATCTAGTATTAAGTATTCAAAGCTCTGGTAGACAAAAACAGGGGGTTATTTTTTAACATCCTGACCAAATCATAACCAATCCCCGTTCTAATGTCCACTCCATCAATCACATTCATCACATAAATCTGGCTGTAACACGGTAAACTGTGCGATTTGTTTTTCCGTAATGGCTGCGATTGCCCTCCCTCTTCTTGCTTCGCTGAAACTCATAGAAGGTAATGTTATGAGGGACTCAATTTTGCACGACTCCTCTCATCAGCCAGTGAAACAGCAATAAAGGCAAATTGCTCCTGGGAGACATGAACGCTTTAGAATAAATTACGTACGGGAACAGAGGTGTAATTAATTTACAGGCTGTATTGATAGTCCCCCTTCACTGCTCACTATATGTCTTCATCTCGGCTAACGTCTTCATTATTTGGAGGGCAGGAGAGAAGCGAGTCAACAGACTAAATGAATTGCCATAAGACTTGTACACAAACCGTTTCCACCGTGTCAGTGTTTCTCTCAGGCTTTTAATTAGCATGCTGAAAAATTATTAGATAAGTATGTGCTTAAGCCGTTTAGATATGCGTGCAGGGAGAAACGTACATGTGCAGACACGCATTAATGTGGGTTTTAATGATGCATTTAATGGGCTTTTTAGAATTTGCAATTAATAATACTTTTTTTTCTTGCCATTTTAGCTAAAACTGATGACGCACAGAAAACAAAGGAAAATGTGAAAGTAGGAGGAGCAATAAAGGAGGAAGGTGAGTCTAACTTAAGCGTTTTTTATCAATAATCTAACACAGAAAGCAGGAGAAGGTCACACTTTATTTTAATCTACAATTCACACGTTTAACAAACCAGACCTTTAGCTCAATAAACTATTAATTAGCTGCTTTTTAATAGTTTGTTGGGTTAGTGTTAGTTGGGTTTAGGTTTGGGTATTGGGTAGGACAATGGATGTAGTATAAAATTGTACTTTATAGCAGTGGTTCTCAATCAACCTTTTTTACTTCGGGGCCCACTATTTTCTCCAATCAATTTTTGAAGGCCCACCTGTCTGACATTTTCTCTAAACCTTTATTTATTAACGTGTGTATGTGTGTATATATATATATATATATATATATATATATATATATATATATATATATATATATATATATATATATATATATATATATATATATATATATATATGTATGTATGTATGTATGTGTATGTATATATATATATATATATATATATATATATATATTTAATCCTGTTTTTTATACACACACACAAACACACACACACACACACACACACACACACACACACATATATATATATATATATATATGTATATATATATATATATATATACATATGTTTGTATGTATGTATGTATATGTGTGTGTGTGTGTGTATATAAAAAACAGGATAATGTGCATTACTTCGATCATTTTAATATTAATAATAAAAATCCAAAAATAATAGTTTAATATTGAGAGTTAATTCTCGCGGCCCACAAGCAGGATCGCTGAGGCCGACTGGTTGAGAATCCCTACATTATAGCTACTAATAAACAGTTCATATCTTAATAATAGGCATGTAATAAGACGATAATTAATCAAATTTGAAGCGTAAACTCATGAGACACGTGGCTTTCAAGTCATATCTTTTCTAGGACATTACATTAATATTTTGTGTGTTTGTATATAGAAAAACATATATTTATTAAATATATTTATTAACATGTAACATCCCCTTTTACCACAGTAAAGCTCAAAGTGTCTTCTTTCCAATGATACCCAGTTTGTGTTTGTAGCTTATTGGAGTCAGGAACTGTCAACTATTTAAAGTTAGGTAGGTGTAAATCCCTCAAATTGAGTGCTGACAACATGAATTATAGCTGAAAACACAAAGTGTTAACCATGAAAATTAATAAGAGCTTGGTAAGATATCATTTGGTTGCACTTCCTTGTACTAAAAAGAAATAGTACTTACTCAAGGGTCAGGGGGAGGTTTAGGCCTAGGGTGTTTCATATAACTAAAGGGGTAGTTCACCCTTAAAAAACAAAAATGTCCTGTTAATTTACTCACCCACTGGTCATTCAGGGTGTAGGTGACTTTTTATTCTTCAGTAGAAGATTAAAGAAATTTTAATCTGAATCTGATTGGTGATATAATGGCAGTAAATGGTGACAGTTTTTTATATTAGAATAATTACATACAAGAAAGTCCAAATCGATAGCCGTGACTCCTGATGACACACTGAGGTCTTGTGAAGCGAAACGATCGCTCCGTGTAAGAAACTCAACATTATTTACAATATTATTAGCTTTGTTTATTAGCAATATTAAACAGTTCTCAGCGCTTGTGTGAATGTTGTCCAGTTGTGGTCCTGTCACTTTGATTAGCAGCTAGCTTACTGCGACTTTCACATGGTCATCCACTGAAGCTAAGCAGGGCTGCGCCCGGTCAGTACCTGGATGGGAGACCACATGAGAAAGCTCGGTTGCTGCTGAAAGTGGTATTAGTGAGGCCAGCAGGGGGGGCGCTCAACCTGCGGTCTGTGTGGGTCCTAATGCCCCAGTATAGTGAAGGGGACTCTATACTGCTCAGTGAGCACCGTCTTTGAGACAATAAACCGAGGTCCTGACTCTCTGTGGTCGTTAAAAATCCCAGGATGTCCTTCGTAAAAAAAAGTAGGGGTTTCACTCCGGCATCCTGACCTAATTTGCCCACTGGCCTCCATTATGGCCTCCAAACTCATAATTTGCTTCATCGCTCTGTCTCCTCTCCACCAATCAGCTGGTGTGTGAGTGCGGTCTGGCGCAATACTGCTGCCGTCGTGTCATTCAGGTGGATACTGCACACTGGCGGATGAGGAGATTCTCCTCTATGTGTAAAGCGCTTTGAGCGCCAAGAAATTCAATATATAAGGAATTAATATATTATTATTATAAGGAATGTACGAGGGTGTATCTATAAATATCTATCATTATCTATCAACAAACTACACCTCCCATCCAAGCGCACACATAGTTAATCTTCATGTTTTCAGTACTGAAAGGTGTATTACGAATTCTCACAACATCACAATAATGTTTCTTAAAAACATAAAATCATTTGATCAGTTTTCAGCTCAGCTCCTGATGCTCGGTCTTTCAGTGAGCATCTGCATTATTCTTCACTGCATTACTGGATCTGGCAAAGTGTCGCTCCGGGCTACAGTGTGTGGCTCACAGTCAAGTGATTTTCTTAAGCAGAGTTCATGCTGTAATCTCACCCTTTGGAATCAATTGACTTCCTCCCTCCTAAAACACTTTAGTTTCTCTAAACTCATCCTGTTTTTGTAACGCATTCTTCCTGCTGAGTGCTGGAAGGCTTTAAACACCACCTCCACCCCCGCTTGGTAGCATACTAAAATAGTCACAGTTCTGCTCTTATCGAAGTGTCTTTTGTATTGACACTCAATCTCTGTCCGCACGGTCTTTAAGTGGCGTAGTGAAAGATATTCAGGTTTGCCTTTAGTCATCTGACCACAGCGGGTCTACTCACATTTATACCTGACGTCGTTTACTGTATGCTTGATGGATCTGCAAGTTGTCCAGTGTGCACACAGCGAATGTGACATAATCAACATCCAATTTGCTTTACTTGCATCTAAAAAGGCATGTCTTGGAGCCGGGTCTGGCAGAGCTGGTGAATGTGCATGTGACGACCCCTTTAGGAATATTTTTTTCACTAAAACTACATTTTTTATTATATATTCACAGTGTAATCTGTGTAATACCTATGTTTATAATGAAGGTGTCGTTTGAGATTATTCTGGAAGGAATTATATTAGGACACGTCAACCAATGAGAACATTTGGAATGGGCGTCATCAAATCAAATCACTTTTATTGTCACACAATCAGCAGCATGTGTGCCATGACGAGTGTAAAGCTTAGGTGCTGGCTCCAGACAGTACAAAATACAGATGGTGCAAATACAACGACAGTGCAAAATACAACAGCATACTCCCCAAAAAAACAGGACAATGTAAAATTGACAGCGATATGTACAATGAATAGGTCTCCACATAGTTTTAGGCAGTATTGTTTCATGTATGGATTGGTTAAAGTGCAGTGCATGCTACATATTGATGGTGTGCAGTGAGGGGTATGGAAGAGTCTATGTGGGGTGTGTTAAGTGCTCATCAGCCTGAAGAAGCTTTCCTTCAGTCGGCTGGTGCGTGACCGGATGCTGCAGAACCGTCTGCCTGAGGGTAGCAAAGAGAAAAGTCTATGGCTTGGGTGGCTAGAGTCGCTGATAATTCTCTTGGCTTTCCTCATGCACCGCCTGGTGTAGATGTCCTGGAGGGAGGGAAGCTCACCTCCTACTCTGCGTCCAGCAGTTCGCACAATCATATGTAGGCCTTTGCGATTGCTGCTGGTGCTATTTCCATACCAGGTGGTGATACAGGTGGTGATCACACATATCAACCAGTGAGAACATTTTGAATGGGTGTTATCACAAGTATTAACCAATGAGAACATTTGGAAAGGGCATCATTACACATATCAACCAATCACAAGTATCAACCAATGAGAACATTTAGAACGGGTGTTATCACACGTATCAACCAATGAGATCATTTGGAATGGGTGTCTTCACATCTCATCCAATAAGAACATTTGGAATGGGCATGTCAACCAATGAGAACATTTGGAATGAGCATTTCAACCAATGAAAACATTTGGAACAGGCGTCATTACGCATCTCAACCAATGAGAACATTTGGAATGAGCATCTCAACCAATGAGAACATTTGGAACAGGCGTCATTATGCATTTCAACCAATGAGAACATTTGGAACGGGCGTCATTACGCATCTCAACCAACGAGAACATTTGGAATGAGCATCTCAACCAATGAGAACATTTTAAACGGGCGTCATTACGCATCTCAACCAATAAGAACATTTGGAACAGGCGTCATTACGCATCTCAACCAATGAGAACATTTGAAACAGGCGTCATTACGCATCTCAACCAATGAGAACATTTGGAATGAGCATCTCAACCAATGAGAACATTTGAAACAGGCGTCATTACGCATCTCAACCAATGAGAACATTTGGAATGAGCATCTCAACCAATGAGAACATTTGGAATGGGCATCACAACCAATGAGAACATTTGGAACAGGCATCATTACGCATCTCAACCAATGAGAACATTTGGAATGGGCATCTCAACCAATGAGAACATTTGGAACAGGCATCATTACGCATCTCAACCAATGAGAACATTTGGAATGGGCATCACAACCAATGATAACATTTGGAATGGGCATCTCAACCAATGAGAACATTTGGAATGGGCATCTCAACCAATGAGAACATTTGGAACAGGCATCATTACGCATCTCAACCAATGAGAACATTTGGAATGGGCATCACAACCAATGATAACATTTGGAATGGGCATCACAACCAATGAGAACATTTGGAATGGGCATCTCAACCAATGAGAACATTTGGAACAGGCATCATTACGCATCTTAACCAATGAGAACATTTGGAATGGGCATCACAACCAATGAGAACATTTGGAATGGGCATCTCAACCAATGAGAACATTTGGAATGGGCATTGCAACCAATGAGAACATTTGGAACGGGCGTCATTACGCATCTCAACCAATAAGAACATTTGGAACGGGCGTCATTACGCATCTCAACCAATGAGAACATTTGGAACGGGCATCATTACGCATCTCAACCAATGA